TTTATTTATGCTTATAGTAAGTTCATTAATATATATTTATTTACATCCTAAAATACTGCTTTTTGCTAATTATAATATTGCTTGATAATAGTATAAGTCTTATACAACCCTTTATGGATAAATTTCTAGAACTTTTTAAAGAATGGCCTAATCCTATGATTTTATTTATTGATGAATTTGATAAACTATATTGGTTAAATAAAAAAATTAAAGATAACATTTTAGAATCATTACACTATCTTAAATAACAATAAAACTGACCTATTTATTAAGTAATTGCTATTGGAACATTTAGTATACTTTATTTGAATACAAGTAATCCTTATATATCTCTCTTTAACATTGCAAAGTAATATAAAAATCCAAATTTGCTATTTAAACAAGTCAAAACTTTATTTGAAAAATTTGCAAATAATAGAGATCTTGATATTGATACTTTAGTGATTAAGAATATCTAATGCTCTGAATAGTTCAGTTTAGTCTGTATTATAGGCTAATCTGAAACTGAACTGAACCGTAAATTGGTAAAAATCCGAACTGAACTGAAAATTTTGGATTAATCTAAAATTTCAGATCATTTGAAATAATTAAATTTATCATTCTTTTGCAATGATAATTTAATCATTCCAATTGAACGATTTTTTATCGTTCGTTTAGAATGATAATTTTATTGTTCTAATCGAATGATCCTTTTATCATTCTTTTATAATAATAATTTAATCGTTCTAATTGAACGATTTTCTTATTGTTCATTTGAAATGATAACTTTAATTGTTCCAAATAATGATTCTTTTATCATTCTTTTGGAATAATAATTTAATTGTTTCAATTGAATGATTTTCTTATTATTCATTTGAAACGATAACTTTAATTGTTCTAAATGAATGATTCTTTTATTGTTCATTTGAAATAATAATTTCATTGTTCCAATTGAATGATCCTTTTATCATTTATTTGAAACAATAATTTAATCATTTCAATTGAACGATTTTCTTATTATTCTAATTAAACAATTTTCTTATTGTTCATTTAGAATGATAACTTCAATCGTTTTAAATAAACAATAATTTAATCATTTTAATCAAATGATTCTTTTATCGTTCGTTTGAAATGATAATTTTATCATTCTAATTGAACAATCCTTTTATCATTCGATTAGAACGATAATTTAATTATTTTAATTGAACAATTTTCTTATCGTTCATTAGAATAATAACTTCAATCATTTCAAATAAACGATTCTTTTATCATTCTTTTAGAACAATAAATTTAATTGTTCTAAATGATCTGAAATTTTAAATTAATTCAAAATTTTCAGTTCAGTTCAGATTTTTTTCAGTTTAGATTAAATTTATAATCTGAAAAAAATCTGAACTGAACTGAAAATTTTCAGATTGAATTTTTTGCAATTTAAAACCAAACTGAAGTTGATCTGAACTAAAAATTTTCAGATTAATTTGAACTGTTTAGAGCTTTAAGAATATCTATACTTTAACAAATAAGTAAGCATAACCTTTATTATAATCTTTTTTTTAAAATATATACTAAGAGAAACTTAACATTTCTGTTAATTTTATTAAAGATATGCAGGATTTACTTGCTTTTGTGAACATGCTATTAATAAAAAACTATAACCAATTGATTTTAATGGAAGATAATGTATTACTTACTAATATTGACAAAGGTTTAAACTTAGAATATTATCACAAGAAATAAGAAGATACAGAATATTTCATAAAATGATTAATAATCTCAAAAAATCTAATTAATAGAAGCTGTAAAGTATCTTTATAAATTCCTTTTTGATACTGTAGAATTTATAGAAGTTCTCAATAGTCATAATCGATTTGCAACATTCCTAATAGCAGAAGGTGTTTTGGTACCTTCTGATAGCTCCTTAAAAATAATCAGACTATCTTTTTCTATGGTTGATATACATATCAAAATGTATATTCTTTCAGAATTATTTTTACATGCATTTTGAAGTGAGATTCCTTTTGATAAATATCAGAAACTTGATATCCTTAAGATATTTCAAATAGTTGTTACTTACTTTGATGTGAATCTCATTCATCTGGTACTTTTATATTATTTCAAGAAAGCAATTATATCTGTTAATGGTGAAAGTAAAATAAAAGTTCCTAGAGAAGGCATCTATAATCAGGAATTAATAAGGATCTTGAGAAACTGGCTTGTTTCATATACTGTTACTGAATAATGACACTTGACAGGAGTTAGTCAGGATGGGAGCTATGTACATTATTATGTTAATATTATAATCAATAATAATAAAGAAGTTATTATACTAGAGCTTATAGCTACAGTTAATCAATTAATCTTAGAAGAACATTTTAATTGTACTTTAACAACCTAGCTGTTACTGTAATTTAGATTATACATTTTACCTATAATGATAAATATTGTAAAGCAAAGAATCCTATATATCAATCTAAAGAACAGAAAATTTAAGGACTTAATATTATCCATTTTTGGTATAATAAAAAATTTGATAATATATAAATATATGTATGTTTGAAAGATGGTAAAATTGTAAAAAAGCAAGTGATATTTCAAATAAATGAAGCATGATTTTTTATGTTATTGCACATTATATATGTAAATATTGACTTTAAAAGTTGATATAAGAGACATTAATATCTACAGTTATCTGAATTATCTGTTTCTACTATATATATGTAAAATAAACATTTAAAGGACTTTTGTATTGAAAAGAAAAATTAATAAAAGAAGTTATTTTTAATAAATTATTCTAAAACTATTATAGCTAATTTCATTACTTATATATCATCTGATAAATTTTGATTTTGAGATTTTCATAACATGTGATACATGAAAAATGAGACACAAATACATAATGTAAAAATGTGTGATATATACAATGATACGTATAATTCTCCTATCAAATATGAAGTTTAAAATGATATTAATTTATTATCTAAACTCATGTTCTATATGTTTAATATGTATAGAATATGCAAAGGTCTATAGAACTTCTTATTCCTATGAATTTAAAGAAATCTATTAAAATAGAAATAATAAATATGCTGTAAATTTTCAGCATAAATTACTTACAAATAATCTTAAAAATAACCAAATGAAACTAAATCATACTTTTGTTTCATGGTTTTATGAGAATATTTCTCCTCAAATAAAATGCTAGAAAATCAAAGTGATATTAATATTTATTGCAAATGTTTAAGCAATATAATTGGTTTAAAGGTATTTATAAAGTTTATTTATTTATTACTTTAAATATACTAATTTAATTGTATATATCGAAGCTAAAAACAAAAATTTAAACACTTCAATTCCTTCAAATCCTTCAAATACTAATGTGGATGATTTAATTAATACTGAAATTACAAAATTACCTTTATATGATTCTTCATTGTCTAATGTAATATCTAATACAAGAAATATAACTCAAGTTATTTCAAAACCTTTAAAACTAAGTAAATATATTAATGTTATTACATTATATAATTTGAAAAAGCAAACTAATTTAATTTAAATTTTTTAAACATATATTATAATAGTATATTTTAATCAATTTCAGCTACCACGAAAAAATTAAAAAGAGCTATATCTATTCCATTTATCTTTGAAATATTTCAAATTATGATTATATTAAAGAAGAGATCCTATCATATAATTTATCAAAGTCTTAGAATAAAATAGAGATAGGATTAATTTGTTATTAAATTTCTTTAATAGTGAAAGTAGATCATTATGATTTCTAATCTAATAGAGCAATTATTACATTTATAACTATAGTAAAGGAAAATAAGAAAATTCAATTGTATGTTTATTAAGAAAAACAATTAAAACGAAAAATAACTTATAGAAGTATTATTAATCCTATAGAAATTAATTTTTAAAAAAAATTTGTATAAGAAGTTTTATATTATAATTTAAATTATTATTTTTTTAATATTTATATATCTTTTTAGGCTGAAACAAATTCTAAGATTATAAATGATCTTAATTTTTCTAAACAAAAAAAATGCATTTTTTAAAGAAATTTGAATATTATGCTTAAAGGTATTTGATATTGTAACAGGATTATTATAACGTAATTAATCTATATAATGTATTATAAATAGTTATATAAGTGATGTAGTTAATAGGATTGATTTAATATATAAATTTAATTTATATAACACAAGAAAATGTAGATCCAAATGACAAATATGTTAAACATATCTAATATATTTGATACATTTAACATATTTGATATATCTGATATATTTGATATATCAGACATACTTAACATATATGATATATTAGATTTACATTAAAAAAGTATATAAAGAAGATTAAATTCTTAACAAGAAAGTAACTATCAATTGTTAGATGCAATCTGATCAGTTTAGCAATAACTAAGTATAACCTCTTTTTTTTTTGTAATGCAAAGCTACTCTTTTCTATTTGTGATTAATTCTTCTTTTATATTCTTTTAGTTTAGTATTTTTAGCTTTTAGTTTATTTATTTACTAATAAATCTTTATTTGATTTACTTAAAATATTTTGTGACGCTTGTAGTTATAACGTTATTCACATTTAATTTTAACTTAACATATAAAAATATACTCAAAAGTATATTGAATACATTGGACAGTATATAGTAGATGAATTGTATATTCATTGTAGGTTTGAATATATTTTTCAATATATAGCAAAACTTAATCAACTGAGGTGTAAATATATTTTACGGTATATAAAAGAACTATTAACTTATTGAGACAACTAGTAGATTACTACGTAAACTTAAAAGAATCACCACTCGAACATCTCATCTAATAGTTATAGTTCATAAGAATTACACGTTAACAATATCTGATAATGAATATCATCTTATATTAAATAATAATATAATAATATTATAGATGAGAGCTTGGTAAATTAAATATAATATATGTTTTTATTTATTTAGTTATTCTATCTATTTATTTATTTTTATATTTATTTAGTCTATAGAAATGAAAAATGTTACAAAATTAAATCCTCCTACAATTCTGATGTTTGATAAACAAAAATATAAAGTATTTCCTAATACATTTAAAGATATACTATTACTGCATAAAGAACTTGAAGAATTACCTGGTATTTTTTTATAATTATTATAAATTTTTGAGTTATATTATATATTTATTTTAATATATTATATATTTGCATTTAAAGATTCTATTAAAATTAAATTAATAAGCATATTCTTATTAAAAAGTGTTACAATTCATATAAGAAAAAGACCTCATATAAATCTAATATTAATATATCAAAAGAAATGACTTTTGAAGAACTTATGACTTTTGTATTTCCATCAGAATCTACTAATAATAAAAGATTTATTATAAAATTATCACTTAATGATGATACAAAGAAATATTTTAAATCAAGTAATTGATACAATTTTTTTTGAAGAATATGTAAATATTTGGGTTAATATGGAATTTATCTTAGTAGATTTGATAAAATTTTTTAATATTTTATATTTATTAATGATAATAATAATAGTAATAGCAATAATAATGATAATAATAATAATAATTAATAAATAATAATAAAGTGATCTTTTTGATAATTTGTGTAAAATATATTTTATTATTGATAAAATTTAAAATTTAAATATATCTGACATGTTGAAAATATGCATTAGCTAACTTTTTTCCAATTGATATATAACCTAAATCTAATACTTGTGTAGAGTCTTTTAAAATTTCTACCTAATTATGATTTTGTCATAGAAAATTTTTAATATAATAAAATGATTTTTCAATCTAAAAATATATATACTAGTATATATTAATAATAATAAAAAAAATATTGAATTTATAACTGAAAATTTAACTTATAGGATTATAGTTAGATAAATATATTAGTAGAAATTCTAATATTACACTCTTTTCTTTACATAAAGATTTTAAATATTGCTTTTTATAAATAGAGATATTATCTAAAATTAATATACTATATAGTTCAGAAAAGCAGTTTATTTTTGGTAACTAATAAATATTGAATTAATTTATAAGTTATTTATAAAAAAAAAAATAATCAATAAATATAAAAATATATTATACCAATATATATTCTACAAAAAATTTAAAACCTTTTGCACTTATTAAACCCTTTTATATTCTATAAGCTAATAATTCATCTATACATAAAGCACACTCAATTGTAAATCTTTGTCCTTTAATAAAAAAAAAAGGTTTTTTTGTATGAGTTCCTTTTAAACTCTATTCATATCTTTTTGATAATAATCTCCTATTATATGCAGATTCATCATCAAATACTAATCACCTTAGAGTATATTAAGAAATTTATAAAATATAATCTGTTTTATCAATCTCATTTCTTTCTTTTTCTGATTTAGATAGCTTCAAATTAAATACGTAACAATAAGTTATTTTTTATTATTAGATCTTACATATAGCATTTAAACAATAAATTTAAATACCTGTTTATATGTATATCTAAGACAATGTAAAGCATACTATATTGTAATATATCTAATAGTGCATCCAAGCCACATTTCCATTTCATTTTGTAACTTCTATATATATTAATCTACCTTTTCTTTTAGTAGAAACTCTAGATATTTTAAATCATTTTCCAATAATAAATGCAGTTTTAATATAATAAATATAACAGTTCTACTGAACTATATTTTTAAAAGTGAAGTATTATTATATATATAGAGGTTATGCCAATTCTATAATATTTTATAATTTCTCTTTGTGAACTTCCATATAACTATTTTTTTGATTATTTGCCAATAAAAATGTGAAGTAATTTTAATTTTTTCATATTATAATAATGGAAAACACAATTAGTTATACAAATTATACAACTCTTTATTTATTTAGAAATTTTACTGTATATCATATGTCATATATCATATGTTACAAAAATCTCAAAAATCAAAATTTACTGGGTGGTTCATAAGTAATGAAATTAGTTGTAAATATAAAAATAATACAAAGTAAACATAAAATTATAAAATTATATATATATGGATAAGTGTATATGAAAATTAATAGTAAATATAACAGTTCTAATAAATATCAAAAAAGCAATTGATTTTTAGAAAAAAAATGTAATTATGGTTGCTCTTCAAGAATTTTTAAAGAACAATTTGCAGAATTAAGAGAATTTTTTCAAACTTTTTCTAAATCAGAGCAAGACATATTTTTAATGGTCTAATTTAAAGCAATGGATGGTAAATTAACAAGCACTAGTAGACACCTTAAAAAGAAAACTAGATCTAATAAAAGAACTTTCTATCACTAGGATCACAATACATTTTTTTGTCAAGAAATTTATCTTAATATGTTGGGAATTTGTAGAACTTATTTTGAAAACATTAGAAATTATTTGATAAAAAATGGTCTTTTACTAAGAATTCATAGTAATATTAAAAGAATGCCTTATTGAAAAACTAAATGGTGATTAAAAAAGATATTGCAAAAGTAGTAAAAAAATTTTTTAAAAAATTATGCTAAAGTTCATAGTTTGCTAAGCTTAGAAAGAAGTATCAATAAAATAACTCAATCAATTGTATTTTTATTAAATGAAATGAGTTATAAATTAGTTTATAGAGACTTTCTAGCTGATTTAGAAGAAGATAGCAAATTAAAATTCTTAAAATATGATACTTTCAAAAAATTATAATATCAATTGATACTAGATATTCAAATTATGAGTCTTAGGATTGACTTATGTGATACTTGCTAACATTTTCAAAATGGTTTACATTACAATACTAGCTAAGAGGAAGAAGCTAAAAAATTACTCAAAAAATTTAAAGAACATTTGTTTAAGGCAAAATTAAAAAGAAATTATTATAATAAAAATACTAAATTAACAGAAGAATAAAGTAAACTAGTTGATCAAAATTATTCAAAGAATAAAACACAGTATTGTAGTATTGATGCTACTGCTCATCATAGTTATAATTGAGCTCAAAATATTTATGTTCTATATTCTGATTAATAAGTGAGTAAAATTTATTATCTTAGTTTATATAAAGTTCATTTATTTAGTATTCAAAATGAAGCAGTAAAAACAAATTAATTATATATTTGATAAAAATGAAATTATATGAAAAGGATTCAATAGAACTCTTAGTATGATTTTTGATGGAATTAAGTAATTGAATAAAGGTGAAAAGCATTTAAAAATTACTTGTGATAATGCTAGTGAACAGAATAAAATAACACTATTATTTGATTTTATTTATATTTAGCAATTTGTAATTATTATAAAAATATTTCAGGCATACTAAATTCAAATGTAATGATAGTTTTGGCATGATTAAAAACTCTATAGAAGAACCAGAGTAGATTGTTTAGATTATGTAGTTGAAGTGGTAAAAAAGTTTAGTTCAGCAAAATTAAATAAAGTCCAGTATTATGAAGGTAGGAAAGATTTTCAATACTTAGATATTAAAGCTATTTTGAAAATTTATTTCAAAAAATTATCAAGTATACAGAAGTATCAATATTTTCTTTTTGAAGCATCTAACCTTGATATGATTAAAGTCAGAAACCTGCTAATAGATCTTTTGTTAAATTCAATTTATTGAAAATCAAAAAAGCAGATATTTTTGAAGAGATTAAAGCTTTATCTATTTTAGTATTAACATCTCCTTCTTTGGACTATAAAAGACAAGAATACCTTTATAATAATATTCATATATTTGTTAGAGATGAATTTAAAGATATTACTTGTCCTAAGCCAGTACTAATATAATTAAATAATTTTTAATTAAATAAAAAAATTTACAAAATTAACTCTTATTTCTAATTCTAACTAATTTAATAACTAAGATAACTAAAAGGAACAACAGTACTCCATAGATAGCTATTCAATAAACCTTTTTTCTCTTATTTTTATTAAGTTAACTTTCTAATTGAATCTGAGAAGTTTTATTTTATTTTCAATAGTAAGCTTCTGAATTTCTTATTTTTTTAGCTATCCTTTCATATTTTATAGTATCTAGAAATTGATTATTTTTTAGGATCTAAATTGCCTTTATCATTTTTGTAATATGAACCTAAGAAAAAGTAGTATTGTAAATTCAGAAGCAGGATAAGTTTGACTATAATTTGAAGGTATTTCTGCTTCTTCTCTTCATAATTATATAGCTTTTTCATTAAGTTCGCATTTGATAGTAAAACTGCCAGTGAATGATGCAAATTTTATTTTTATATAAGTTCTTGATAGACTTCTTTGATTTGATCTTAGGTTTTTTTATCTACAGTGTTGATATTGTTAGGTAAATGATTTTTAGTAGAAATGGTTATATTTCCTATTTTAATATGTAATTTGGCAATAATTTTATTCTTTTCTGCAATGATAATGTTATCATTTGTTACTTAAAAAAGTTTTTTTACATCTTTAGCTACTTCTAGAATAAAACTTTTTTCTAACACACTTTTGATTCCTAAACTTTCATAATTCTTTTTATATTTAGGAACCATTCGCATATAAAAATAGAGTGAATTTTAAGTATCAATGGGTGATATTAGTATACTAACTCTGTAGTCTGCTAGATTATAAACCTTGTCAACTTTTGTTACAACATCTCTAAGCGTGAACAGAATATTTAATCATTCTTGTCTAGTTATTTCTTCAAAAGTATTAGCATGATAATTGATATATAAGGCTACATTATTTTTAGAATTTTATCTTAAAACTACCTCAACACTTATACAGAAGGTGGTCAAAAGTTTCTGGACACTTTTTCACCAAATATAAAACTGATAATTCCTTTAGCATTAATAGTAAAAGTTCTAATATTATTTTATTTAGAGCTGGTTAAGGTATACAATTCATATTAAGCTTTTAATACTTAGTTTGGCCTCCCTTTGTCGCAATCACAGCTTAAATTCGCTGTAGCATACTATCAACTAAATTTTCAATAGTATGTATCAGAATTTCTTGCCATGTCTTTTTAACATATCGGTCGAGGTCAGCAAGATTTAATAGTAGTTTTTTATATGCATAAATATTTTTTTTAATCTCAGCCCATAAATTTTCAATTGGGTTAAGGTCAGGACTTTGGGCTGGCCAAGTTAATGTAAGAAAACCATTTTCTGCCTGAAAATTCATTGCAACTTTCGATTTGTGCGGGCGGGCATTATCTTTTTGGAACCAACCATTATTATTGAAAAATATTCGTCTTATAGCTGATATTACATATTTACGAAAAATGATGATATGTGATTTACCATTTGCTGTTCTAGATAATATAATAATTGGCTCTTTTCTCTTTTGAATAAAACAGTCCCAATACATATGGCTTGGGCTATGCTTTACTGTGGCTAATATACAGGATAAAACCCATTCATCTACTGGTTCTCGTCACACCCTGCTATTGCGACTTTGTTAGAATTGAGAGAAGGTCGATTCATCATTTTACATGACCTTTGACCAATCCTCTTTTGTTCAACTTTAGTGCTTTAAACACTATGCGAGACGTGCTTCTATATTCACTGGTGAAATTAAAGGTTTTCTTCATGCAATACAGTTTCTTAATCCAGCTGAATGGAGAACTTGTCTAATAGTCTAAGTTGAAACATTTTGTCTAGACTTTTTTTTCTAAAGTTGCTATACTCTAGTAGTACAAAGATGACGATTTTTAGTTTTATCATTTGTAATGATTCATTTGAGGCAATTATGTTGAGGAATTGTAATCAAGGATGGTTGTTTAGAGCGAGGCATTGATTCAATCGATCCTGTGGTGCTAGCTCTTTTTAATGTATTACAAACAGTTAATTTTCTGCAGTTAACGATCTTTGCAATAGTCTGGTAACTGTCACCACATTGGTAGCAGTAAAATATGGCTCTGCATTGTTCTTTAGTTAATTCTTTATTTTGTCCTATTATTTTTCGATTTGGTAGAGATTAAGTGATATAAATTAAAATAACAAAAATAACACAAATTTTTTTATTTTGATTATGTAAATAAATAATTGACAGTCATATGACCACAGTATGGTATCACAATTATATGACGAAAATTTTTTAAATTGTATTTATAAAGGTGTTTGGAAACTTTTGACCACCCTCTATATTATTTTCTAAATTAGAGACTTGAGATTTAAGCATTTCTTTTTTACTCAATTCTATTTTATTACATATATGACAAACTATTTCACTTCTTTTAGTACTTTTGGGATGAATATAACTCAAAGTATTATCATATTTTCAAATAAAGTGATTATTTTGTTTACCTCTTTAATATTTTTGTGACAATTTTAACATTGAGAACATTTATATTTTTAAATATCTTTATAAGCAGTGATATCTTAATTTAATATAATTTGCATTGAGAATACCAAATAGTAATTTTGTCTCACCTCCCATTATCTTTTTAGTGAATATTTCTTATCCTAAAAGGTCAATCAAAATTTTCTTTATTTTTAATCTTTTGTAAGGTTTCTCTAAAGATTTTTTTTTAATTTCTTTTTCAATCCACAGTTTTTTCATCTAATTTTTTTGAATTAAATTTTGAGAATAATTTTAACAACAAATTTCAATGTATTCTCTTTCTTCTTCATCTCATCAATTAATAATTAAACCTTCTTTAGTATTTTATAATTAAAATATTCTTTTTTGATCATGATTTTTTATTTATATAAATAGTTTACAAATAGTTTTACAAAAAAAAAATCAGTATTCAATCATAAAAGAGAACTCTTTAAATCATGACTAGAATGAAATATTAGTATTAGTTTTAAAAATCTAGTTACTCATTGAGAAAATGCCAAAAAGAAAAGATAAATAGATAATAAATTTATTCTTATTATTTTCCTTCTAGAGATCTTGGCTTTTTGTTGAATAATAATGCATCATTATGATGCTTTCTTTTCTTAATATTTATTAACTTTCTTTTTTCTTAGTAAATTTCATAAGTAATCCTTTCTTTTCTTAGATAAGCTTCCAGTGTCTGAGTATCATTTATTTTGAAATATAAGAAGCGATTTTCTCACTTTGTTCTTTCTTTAAAATACTTCTAATGGTACTGTAATTTTTAGATTTCATGGTAGACCTAATGTAAATTAAATTAATATAACTATTTTTGTATAGGGATAGTTCTATATATTACTTAATATTAAGAAAAAAAACAAAGATAACAAACAAATGGGAAATTTTAATAATCACATTAAAAATTTTGATCCTTAAAATTCTTGATAATACCAATGTTCACTTTGTCTGATTTTGTTGTAACATACTCTAAATACTAATCAAATGATTAAATATTTATAATAATATAATAATTCAAAAATGAATATATTGCTTGCTTTAAATATTATTTAATAAAGAAAAATATTAAATGTTAGATAGAAAAATTTAACTGTCACATATTTAATTACAATAACAAAAAAAAAAAGAGTATTATAAAAAATGAAAACAAGTTTAATTTATTACCTAATTTATGTTGATCCGTCTATTTATACTTTCGTCCAATCATAATCACTATAAATTTACATACAAGAAATTTTTTTTTTTTTTTTTTTTATATCTCGAACTTTAGATTTCGAGAGAAATAATACAGCAAAGTTAACATAGTGTTTGTTTGGAGAGAGGTTTTAAAAGTAATCAAGTGAAATACAAATACATGATAAGGTTATACTGTTATTGAATATGGGTTGATTGCTAGGAAAATCAGGTTCCGGGAATTTTTTAGCAAAATTGAGATTTTTATTGCATTTTAGTTTTTGATGTTATTAGATTAAAATGTATTAAGCTCTTAATTTTAGTCAAAAATTTCTCGGAACCTGATTTTCCTAGAAACACTCCCATATGATAATAGAAATGGTAAGCGTTTTTATCTTATTTATTTATCTATTTTTTAGCTTGCTAGAAAAAAATTTGACTTTTGTATGATGATATAAATCTTATCCTACACTCTGAATAAAATTCAATCGTGTTGAGATTCATAGTTTCAGCCTTGTCTGATCAACAAAAGCATTTAGGATTAATTTTATTTATTTATTTATTTTATAATAATGATCTAATTTTCTCTTTTAAACCTTCTATATTCAGGATGAATTATAGGAATTGAAGTAGAGTAGCAAATTTCTTTATTATTTAGGAGAGTTTTGATAGATTTAACGGTACATTGTCAGAATGTTATTATCTTAGGATGTAATTTTTTTAGTTAAATTTTCAACTGCGTAAATTCATAAATTACACAAACATGAGATCTAATAAAATTTTCCCGGGTGAAAATCTTTGATAAATTTGGAAATTACATATTAAGAATGTGGCTATATCCAATTGGTTTACAAATTATACAAATTATAAAATAATAAAGTAAAAAAAAAAAAAAAAAAAAGTCTACAGTTTCGTTTTTATCCTTTCCTTTAATAACTAAAATTTATATAATTTCATGGAAACACAACAGAAAGAAGCCCCCAAAAACATCTTGAATGTTGCCAAATTCTTGAGATCTAGCTCTGATTTAAAAAATCGACAAGGAATCTTAAATGGAAAAAGAGTGGTTTATTTTAAAGGTATTCGCATTTCGATTATGACCACCCTTTTTTTTTTTAGGAATTAAATAAATTCTCGATTTGATAAACTTAATTAGGTAAATCTGCATTGAAGGCACTTCTTAAAGAATCCTACGGTAAACTTAAAGAGGTTCCAAAAGTTACCAGTGAAAACGAAGCTCGTGAAGTCCTACAAGAGGTGTTAGCTCACGCCTTTTTCTTGCGTGTCGAACGTAGTGAGAGTGGATCGCGTAAAAAATTAGAAATAACGTCTTATCAATCGTGGGCTGAGGATCAATATTATGCATGGTTCTATGAAGGATCACAATTAATGACAATATTGGGAGGAATTGGATTGATATCCGTTGTATTTGCGGCTGTATTATTTCCTCTTTGGCCTTCTATATTAAGAGATTCTGTTTGGTACCTTTCTGTGGCCATTTTGAGTCTTTTTGGAGTATTTATGGTCATAGCTGTTGTAAGATTAATCTTATATATTATGACCATGATTGTAATTCCTCCCGGAATATGGTTATTCCCCAAATTATTCGAGGATGTGGGATTTGTAGATAGTTTTATTCCACTTTGGGCTTGGGAGGTACCAAAGAAAAAAGTAAAGATCACTGAAGACGATGAAGTAGCTAGTGGAAGTCAAAATGTTAATAAAGATCTTCGTACTACAGTTGAAGATGTAGAAGATGAGGAAAAATTCGAGGAATCCAAGGATGATGATGATAAAAAGGTAGATTAAGAAGATCAAGATTCCAATCTTACCAGAAACATTTTGCAATTGGTAAATTATGGAGCAAAAAAAAAAAAATAAAAAAATAAATAATAGTATTCTTCATAATATATCCCCTTTTCTTTTATTTGGATTTATCGTTATCATCACCCCCTACAATATTTTTTAAATCGGAAATAGATGTATCAACTTTTTGTTTAGCATCACTAGCTATATCAGAGATAGAACGATGAACTTTTAATAATTGTGGATATTTTTGTTGGTTTTCTTGAAATTTTTTTGAAATGTTTTGCGACGTTTGTGGTAAAAAGTAATATGATGAAGCAATGGTAAAAACTATTGGAGTTGCAATTCGAAGTAAAATGTTACCTAAAAAATATATATACACATTAAATAAAAATAATTTTATATAACTTAAAGCTGAGGTAAAAAAATTTCTTACGATTTCTTGCTATGATTGTGCCTGCTAACCCTGCTATTGTTACGTATAATGCTTCTGGCATTAATCGCTCATTTGGTGCGATTACCTCCTTAATGGTTTCTAAAATAAAATATTTTCTTTTAAAAACAGATTTTTTTTCTTATTTAAACAAGAACAAAAACAAACAAACAAACATTTACTTTCAGTATTTTGTTCAATGGTGATCCATTTATTGATCACTCCATGAAATTGTCGCTTTTTAAATTAACATATGAAATTAATAAACAACTTATCCATTTATTATTATTATTATTATTATTATTATTATTATTTTAAAAAGAAAAAAATTAATTTTCATTTACTTCAAAATCACAAGCAGCTTTCGCGACGTGAATTCGGGCTTGTTTAATTCCTTCTTCTAACCTTGTAGGTGACTCTACTAAAACAACGTCAGGTTTAGGTTCATCATAAATACATAACTTAATAATAATAATAATAATAATAATTAGTATTTAAATTAAAGATTCACACGTGAAAAATAATTATGTAGCCTACCTTTTTAGCAGAGGTCTCCTCTGCATAAATTACCGGGAAACCTTTATTATTATTTAATATAATTTCTGTAAGGATAGCTCCTCCTATTCCTGTTAAAACTAACTTTCTTTGTATATTCTAAAAAAAAAATAAAAAATTTAACCACCACCTTCCACTGAATTTTTCTACAGAATGCTGAAAAAGTACGTGTACCTTACTAGCATGGTGAAAAATACCAAAATTCCTAAACATTCTCAACTGTTAAAAAAAAATATTATCAAAAAGTAGTATATAATTAACTGAAAAATTTTTTATAGATCAAAGGTTAAAGATTTATCCGTGTAACATCGAGTTTCGGAAGTTTAACCAAAAATAGTTAGTCATTTATTTAATTATTTTACACATGATATGATATGATATACATAATCTAAATCCTTTTATTAAAAATTAACAAAATTAACAAAATTATAAAATCAAAAACTTCTAATTAGTTATTCTTCAAGTTTCATCTTTTTCGTTGCAGGATTTTCATCAACATCTTCAATTATAACTGGAATAACGGTATTAACATTCTCTCCCTCATTTCCTTCGTCTGCAACGTTTGAGGGAATTGTTGTAGTATTAACGTCTTCGGCTTGCGTAGCTGTAGTAGCTGATGTAAAAGTTAAATAGTTAGATTTATAATCGAGTAAATTCTACATAAAGTTACGACGTTTCAATAATGACTTACAAAGCTGTTCTTCTTCAACCTCATTCCGAGAACGCTTATGTCCAGTCAAAGTTTCAGTAGAAGAAGCTTCTTCTGCCACTTCGGAAGTTTGTGGTTCGGATTCGGCAGGCCGAAGTGAAACTATTTCGGTTGATGCTTGTTGAACTACTGGTTGAACAGCTACATCTGTTTCCGGTATTTCGGATGTTTGAGCAACTTTTTCTGTATCCGGCACAGTTTGTGGCTGGGTTGATGATTGTTCCTCGGTAGTAGGTGTAGGAGATGCTATTTGAACCGGGTCTACACGGGGCGAACCTGGAAGAACCGTCGGTCCACGATGTCTTTGAATTTTAACAGGAGGTTTTTCCCTTGGTACATTTTGCATCTGACCAGTATTATTATTATTACCAGAAGGTTTAACCAATACCGAAGTAGTTGTATTCGGACTATCAACACCGCTAGTAGTGGCGGGTTGAACATTGTTTGATTGAATATTGGCTGGTTGAACACTTGGTGAAACACTTGGTGATTGTGAAACATCGTCCTGTTTGTCGATAGGTAATTCTTGCGTAGCTTGGAGAGGGCTTTTGGGTGAAGCATTTGCTGTGTTTAAATCTAATTTTATTAGAGCAGTTGGAGTTGCAGGTGGATTGGGAGTCACTGACATTGAAGGTGAAGTAGGTGCTATAGGCAATGCTGTTAACGATTGCAAAAAATCTTCTGCCAATGCTACCGTGTCTTTTGTGGTAGTTTCGGCTGTTGGTTGATTGGCACTTTCTGCTTTTGAAGAACTTTCAGATAAAGATTGAACTTTTTGTTTCAAATCAGAATTTTCGGCCTCCATTCTTTTCAACCTACTCGTATAAATAGACTCTTGGGCCTTTACTCTCAAGAATTCTGCACGATCTTCTTCAAATTGCTTAGTCTTTTCATCGGTTTGTTTCTTAAACTCTTCGGCTTGGCTTTTCAACTCTTCGATTTGTTTTTTCGTTTCTTCATTTTCCTTCTTTAATTCTCCAGCTCTTCGTTGTATACCCTGCATATGCATGTGGATTTTTTTATTTAACTCCTTTAATTTTGTAATTTCCTGCTTCGAATTCGTATTCTCCTGTTTCAACTGTACACTTTCTTTCTCTAATTGTTCGGCCTTTGTCTTGATACCATCCTTTTCATTTTTGAGCTTTATTGCTTGTGCTTTCAAGTTTTCGTACTATATATAAGGAATCGTAAAAGCAAAGATCACATCCTAATTAATACTTAAATATTTAATGAAACACAAAAATAGGTTCATTCAAAATACCTGAGCCTTAGTAGTCTTGATAGTATTTTCGTATGCACTTTTTGCTTTATTAAGGTCTTGTGTCAGTGATTCGACTTCTGTCTTTAATTTGTCACGATCTTCCGAAGTAGTTTTTAGATTTTCTGTAATAGATTTTAAATTTTCCTGTAATTGTTGTAGCTCGGTAGGATCATTGATCTGTAAGATTTAATAAGGATTAATCAATTAATAACCATACACGTGATGACTTATCAAAATATTTTAAACAAAAAAACGCCATTGATAAAATGCATACTCCATATTTCTTAAGCACGGTTTGGAACCTATCCTTCCATTTATTGTTGTCGTCTTTAAGAAGGGTTATTTCTTGTTTAGAAGTGCTAACGTCAACCTTCAAGTTTCGGATTTCAGCTTAATTTTAAATGAAATGATAATAATTTTAATATAAAATTTAACTGCACAGCTTAAATTAGGGGAATTGGAATTGGTTTACGGTAGAATGCAAGGTGTTAAACAATACAATACCAACCTTCAAGAGAACCATTTTTCTCTTCAGATTCTTTTAATGAAGACTCCAACTCTGACATCTTCTTATCTAAATTTTCCTTTTCGTTTCGTAAGGTCTGATTACTTTCATCTAGAATTTTTGATAATTTTTGCGCCTCTAGAAGTTCATTTCGAAGTTGCTTATCAGGAGAAGACTTTTCCGCTCGTTCCTATATTCAAAACGTGTTTAAAAATCAGAAGTCCAATAAAATTGAATTTAGAATTAAAAGGAAACCGAATAAAACCTTAAGGAGTAATGCTTGTGTTTCATCATAATTCTTTTGGGTTTGTTCTAATTGTGCCTTATACCGCTCGGACTGTTTTGCGTAATATTCTTTTTCTGCTTCTACCTTCTGTTGATCACTTCGCAACAGAGATATCACGTGATACTGAGAAGCCTTATCTGTGGTCATATTATTGAAATAATTACGAAGAACTTTGTTGTCGTTTCCAAGATCATTGCACCTAAATATAATAGATTAAGTAAGAAAATTGTTACGTAATTTCCAAAAATATTACAATATAAAATAAGAAATTATTACGTTTGTTGAGAGTCTGCTAATTCTTTTTCCAATCGTGTTCTTGCATTATTCCACGAGGATTCTGCTTGTTTGGATATTTCCTATTATATTAAAACAGGTTTATATAGTTAGAAATGAATAAACTAAGGCTACAAAGCAACAAATTCCAATGTTATTACCTTCAATTGATCAAATTCTTCCTGTAATTCTTTATGCTGAAGCTGTAAGTCATTCAAAGATTTTACAGCAGCTGCATGAGCTGCAAGCTCTCTATTATAATTTTGCTGTGATTCTTCCAACAAAATTTCTCGTCTCTTCGTCTCTTCACTATGCTGCTGGTCTCTGGCAGCCGAGCTTGACATAAGTTCATTTAATTGTTGTTGTGAAATACTTAACTGATCAAGGGCATCAGAAAGTTCCTTTAGCTGTTTATTAAGATTGTCTTCCTTCGATGTGAGTTCATCCTTAATTTTTTGTAGTTCCTCTTGAAGCGCTGCTATCGTGACCTAAAAATCCAATATTAAGTTCAATTCCTACAATAAGCAAGCAATAAATCATAATAAATCATAATAAACAAAATAATAACGTACATTCTTCTCATTTATTTCTTGATCCGCAGCGGTTTTCAATTCAAGGTATAATCCTTCGTTTTCTTCTAAAGACTTTCCTCTTGATTCTGCTAAATCTTTGTATGATTCACTGTACTTTTGTAACTCTTCATGTTCTTTCTTGAGTGTATCGAGGTCACGCCTATAAAGAAAAGTTAATGTAAAAATGAAGTGTCAGATCCCAGACGCAAAACACCAAAATATAACCTCTATTAAGATATTTACTGTAATTGAACTATGGCAGGTCCTTGTCCTTGTGTCTCTAAAAGATGCACCTTATCCTTATATTCTTGGATTTCTTTATTTAATGATTCAATGGTTGCATTCAATTTATCCTGTTCTGATTCAATCACATGAATCTTCTGTTGTAATGTTGTGTTTTCCTCAATAAATTTGCTTTTATCTTCGGCTGATTTGGTGAGTATAGAATAATATTTCTCTGATAGCTCTTCATGCTGTTCGTTTAATTTATCGTGTTTAACTTGTATTGCTAATAGTTTATCTTGAGTTTCACTAAGTTCGGTTTCTAAGCGACCTTTCTCTTCTAATAACCGTTGTGTGCCTTGGGCCTCGGTCTCAGCTTTCTGTTTATCAGTCATCAGCCCATCCATTTCTTTATTAAAGTCACGTTGTAACTGCTCCCATTCATCTTTACGAGTTTGATACTCATTTTTCAACGTTTTGAGCTCATGAGATAAAATTACCCTTTCATTATCGGCCTGTATCAGAGAACATAAGACAAAGGATCGCATTTATTGTTAATGCTAAGTACATAAACATCAAAACACCAAGTTTATACAAGTAGGATAATATACCTGTTTCGCTTGTTTCTCTAATTGTTCGTTTATCTTTTGTACTTGTCGTAATAAATCCTTATTGGATTTACTTTCATCATTTTTCATGTTGAAATGGCTATCAAGGATTTTATATCGTTCTAAAAAAAAAAAAAATCGAAAATGGTTAAAACAAATTTCGGAAAGATTGTAAAATAAATATAATCAATCAACCTTCTAAGTGCTGTTTATCGTATGAAAGTTGAATCTTTTCGTGACGGAATACAGCCAACTCTTGGTTTGCCTTTCGCAACTTCTCTTCGTAATTCTTAATTTCATCAGTAGCAATATCAAGGCGGTTCTATAAATATAACAATTATATAATTAATTTATAAGATCAAATCATAATCAAATTCAAAATTAATTCAAAATTAATCTTACCTTCAAGTCTGTATTCTCCGGTTGATATTCGGGTAAGAATGAAGCAGAGGAAACGTTCATTTGGTGTGCACCCTTTATTGGGGTTAATTCAATAGACATACTGCGACGTTTACGTAATTCCAAATCTCTTTCACGTTCAAGCGTTTCAATTTGTGTCTGGCATTGTTTTAGACGCTGTTGAAGTCGAGTAACTTCCCCAACCGCATTTTTATTCTCAGTATTTTTAAGAGATATTTGGACTTCTAACTCACTAATCATGTTTTGATAACTTTGCATCTTCCTAATCATAATTGTTTTTTCAGATTCTAAATGAAGGGTACGCGAATATAATGAACTTAAATCATCGTATTTGACCGGCTCTCCGTTAACGTTTAATTCAACACTTGTTGAGCCTTCTTTACGAAGCTTGTCGAGTTCTTCTAATAGTGACGTATTGTGTTTGACACACAATTCTTTTTCTATGTAATAAAAGTCGCGTAAATCAATGAATTAAACAATAACATGTGTTATTATTGGAAATGAAAGAAAATTTACACTACCGTTTTGAAGCTCAATGATTCGGTCGTTAAGTTCCTGATTTTCTGATCTGGAGTTTTTTAACTAAAGAATATTTTTAAATGTAAATCACATGTTTTTTCCCTACCAAAAGGATTCATAACCAGATTTTTTAACGTACTAATGCTTTGGTGTTTTCAATTTCTTTATCACGTTGTAAAAGTTGTTCGGACATTTGCCTATGCTCATTGACGATTCTATCATATTCTTCATTTTTTTGATTAATAACAGGTGACTAAGATATAGATAAATATAATTAATTAAAAATATCATTATATAATGTTCCATAGAAAATTTATTCTTACAAATTGACCGATTTCATGGTTGAACGTATTCAAAAGTTGCAAAAGCTCCATATTCTTCTTCTCTTCGGCTATAATCCGTTCTTGAAGCTTGGAGTATTCAGAATACTATTTGAACATTTTGATTATATTAGATCATCGATGGGAAAATTCTTAACAATTTTAATTAACTTTCTTTTTTTATATTTACCAATTGAACTATAGATTTTCCTTTTTTCTGCAATGCAAGGTTTACAGCTCCAACTGGAGTAGTATCAGCAATTGCAGATATATCGCTCAATTGTCGATTCTCTTCTTTTAGTCTTTGAATTTCATCATGTAAATTTTGTTTCTCGTGAACCGACTATAATTTATAAAATAAATATATATATATGTTAGTTATTGCCATGCTAATATTAATAATGCCATGGATCGTATGTATTTTTACCTCTTCAAATTTTGCTTTAGTCTCCAATAGAGTATTATTTAAGTCATCAACAACTCCTGTATCGTAAAAAAAATATTTCCATAATGTGGCATTTTAGATGAATCGCATTAATATAAATTTAAAATCATATTAGGCATACCTTTAGTTTCTGTCATAAGTTTTTGATGTTCTTCCTCGCGTTTTTCATTAATTTGTATTAAACGTTGCGCGTTTTCTAGTTCTGTATTCAAAAGTCTCAACTGTTCACGATGATATTGATTCGCCTCGTCCTTATCTGAATTTGCTTTTTGAGCAACAATAATTTGATCTTTATAAGCACGCTCATAACTTTGAGATGATTGTTGGTATCTGTCAAGATCTATCGTTGCAGTTTGAAGCTTTTTGTTGAGTTTGTCGACCTCAGCATTCTAAATAGTTATTAAAAATAAAAAATATTTAATTAATAAATTAATTGCGTGATAAATTAATTACAATAAAATAATCACCTTTTCTTCTATCGCCGATTTGGCTAAATTTTGCCATTGTTCTACATCTTTCTCTAACGACTCGCATCGTTTCATATACGAATCTTTTTCGAGTTCCGATAGCCTACATTTATGCTATACATGCATAAAAGATTCATTTACTTAATTGAATAAGCTTAATAGGATCAAAAAAAAAGTTGCTCGAATACATTACTTGTAATTGATATTCGCTATTCCTACATTCTTGAAGCTCATTCTCCAGCTTTTGTATTTGATTATGGTGTTGTTGTCTTAAAGAAGACATCTTTTCATAGGTATCTGTGACAATAAATAATCATACATTAACACCGATTTTCAGAAAATTCAAATAAGATATACTATATAATTGCCTTTCGCTTGAGCCAACTCTTGAAATTTGGCTGTCTCAAGAGATATACGACTTTCCCGTTCTTGCTCTTGTAGTTTCTCTTGCTGTGCACATTCAAAAAGCGCCCTTTCTATTTCATCCTTCAATTGTTTGTTTTCATCTTTTAACCGACTATTTTCATTTTCTTAAAGAATATAAGACCTTTTAGATCTCGTCAAAAATAACCAAAATAAAAAAAATGAAAATTACGACTTAAAAGATTTCAATTACCAATTGCTATCAATCTTTTTTTGTTTTCTTCCACGAGGCGCTTTTGATCATCATTCGACTTCTTGTAATCTCGTATCTTGTTTTCTGCATTGTTTAGCTTTTGATCTAATAAAATAATAAACGATAAATATATTAGAAATAAAAATTACATACGAAGAAAAAAAAAATACCTTAAATTATTGACACTATACCGTAAGTAGCCTTGACAATGGTCAACTTTTGGCGAAGTTCATTATTATCGTCTGTCTGAGATGTTTCCGATTCCATAATATTGTTAAGATCTGTGGTTTGATCAAATTAATCCTGAACTGATCAGGCCCCAGTAAGTAATTGAACCGAGTTTGGCTGCAAAAGTTGTTTTTTTGTTGGTTTAATTCTACGATTATTCGAGGAAGAAAAAAAACCTTTTTTTTCTTTTTTTTCTTTAAAAAATAAAGAGCTCTTGTTACCTTTGAACTCTTTTTTTTTTTTTTTTGCAAGAACCTTTGGTTAGATCCTTCGCACGGTGAAATTATAAATGAAGGTTTGGTAAAATTGACATGCTTGTGTGATGTTACGCAATAAAATACGATCTATTTACATCCATAAAAGGTAGTTCGCATCACGCGACATTTATTTTTATTATATGTGGTAGATGCCCAGAATACGTGAAATTCTGACCGAATTCATATGGTAACTCATCTTCAAAGATATTTATTTTATTCAACGTAAATACTATCGAAGACTTTCCAATGTTTCGACAGAAATTGTGGTTTTGTGGTTTTCACAAAGTGATCCCTCCAAAGATAAATAAATTCTTCTAACTTTGGCCACCTCTCTCTTGTACTACTACTACTAGCACCTTCACCCGAACCAGTTACATCATGACTATCTTTTAATAATTGACTGACGACATATTCCCCATGTTCAATGAACTCGTTAGTTTTTTCATACTCCGGTAACATGAGAGCTTGTTCGATGATATCATCTAATTTATCACTTTTGACTTTATTGGTAGTTTGTTGCCAAGTGATTAAAATATTTCTTAACTCTCGCATTCGGTCTTCCGGGATCCCGATTTTATTTAAAGCCGAAGCCGCTTTTTTCACTTTTACATTGTAATCCAAACGAACTCGACCTCGACCGTTCAAAGGTATATTATAATCTTTGGCAATTTTCTTCTTGAGTTCGCTTGCTGCTTTTTCATATGATGTGTGACACCTTATACACATCAAAAGAATATCGTGATTCTAATAAAACAAAAAAAAAATATATATATAATATAGACATGTGCATTTTGATTTTTTTTTTTTTTTTTTACTTGTTGTTACAATTATCACATACCGTATGAGATTTTACGACCTCAGGCATTTGTCTACGATACATCTCAGGAACCACATGATGTCTAGTCAAATTTTCATTGTCACCGCAGCAAACACAAAAGTTGCATCTATCTTCCAGATGATATTTATCAAAGATATGTCCTAACCCTTTGGGTTGAAAATTTAATTGAATGCTATCATCCGCAATTTGATTCGCTAGGTTTCTCGATAGATACCAAGAAATCTTTTTGGTATTGCAACGAAACATTAATTCCCCTCCCAAGGAATACACTTTCCAATTATCATAAGCTCTTTCACGTATCGATTGCATAAATAGTTTTTTGTTGTTGCGTTCAATTGTTCGTTTCAGCTCTTTTATGCCAAACAATGTTTGGTAATCATGTGATGTCGGACAAATGTCCGATCATTGTTACTGATTTGATTTTTCAATGACTCAAAAATAATAAATAATTTTGATCTCGGTTATTCAAAAATGTCTACTATAATTCAGGCAATTTATCAAAGTAAAGAGGACACGGCAAATGAAAAAAAATTTAAATATGAAATTATAAATTCTATTGAAAATAACAATTCAACCGCTAATCAAAGCATGAAGTCTTTGGCTAACGCTCTAACATTACTTCAAAAAGACATTAATGTCTATCTAACATCGAAATTACACGAAGGAAATATTGAAGAAATAACCGGAGATGATGATGATAATGATAACATTGAAGATAATGAAAGCAACGAATAGCGGGTGAGTTAATACTTTAGAAAAATTATCTGGTGAATTGTCTTAAATAATTTATTCTCTAAAGGATCGTTGTTTTTCGATTCATAACTTTATCAAAAGATTTTCCTTCCGTTATTATTATTATATAAGAGATGTAACGAATTTAATAAATTTGCTCAACCAAACTTTTAATGACTACATTTTTTCTTTCATTCCAAAAAAATTACTTTTAATCATTTCTTATTCTATTGATCGGGTGAATTAGTTAAATTTCTAGCAAAGAGGCTTTAATTAGATTTGAATTGTTAAAGAGTTTTAATAAATTTGAATCAGCAAATGTAAAGACACTTGACATGTCATTTTTTATTTTTATTAATTATTCCATCCCGCTCGTTTAATTCTCGCATATTATCATCAGCTATACTTCTAATTGTATATACTACACCTTTGTTCAATTGTTCCTCATTATTGTGAATTAACTATAATAAATCTAACCAAGTAATTGAAATCGGAAAGAAATGGGTACAGGAGTCGCCGCAGATAAAGAATTTAAATATAAGATTATGAATTCAGCAACTACTTCTAATTTTACTTCGAAGACGTTAATCTCTATCTAACTTCAAAATTATACATTTTAAACGAAGACAACTTGACGAATTAAATCAAGGAATAGCTGATGGTTGATATCGAAACGATTTCTTATTTTATTCTCTAAGAATCGTTGTTTTGTTTCATAACATTATTATTAAAAAATTTTTTCCATCTGCTAATAATCAAATTATGTTGATTAATATTAATTATTGTAATACCGAATTAAATGAATTATAAAGTAAAAAGATCATTGATGAACCGAACTTTTAATGTCGACAATTTTTTTTTTTTCAGTGTGTACAATATTTTTTTTTAAATCATTTCTTAATTGTAAATAATATATCTTAAATTGTATACCTTCCTTTGATCGGTTGGATTATTCATCGAAATTAAATGTCTAACAATGAAGACTTTGATTAGATTTGAATCGTTCAATTAAAGAAAATGTTACAATAAATTTGAATCAGTAAAGTAGACATTCGACATGTTATTTTATTAAATGATTCCGTCCGCCCGTCTAATTTCTCATCATATTATAATCAGCCTACCCTTCAAATTAATAAAGAAACTTACCATTATCAAAGATTAAGACCATAAGCAAAAAAATAAAATAAAAAATGTAAATAAAATAAAAAGTTATTCGCAAACGAAAAAAAAAAAAAAAAAATTCGGGAAAAATACCTGATGGATCTGCAATAGATGAGATGTTTTTGTTGCCTTATACTGTGAACATCTATAAAATTATGGAACTTAAAAAATCTCTGTTGTAATTTTCATCACGAAGATACTACGCGATTGAGACAAGAAAAAGAACAAGAAAAAGAAAAAAATGCCTGAATATTGCCATTGAATAAAAATAAAATTAATACTGAATAATCAAATATTGAACATTTTGAAACTTGATTAAAATATAGTGCTTGTTCGTTACTAGATAATGTTGCATGACGTGGACGTCAGTTCTAATCACATCCCCAAAAAAATCTCAACCTCTCCCGTTTGTTTCTATCTAAATTTTATTTTTCCATTTCTTCATTATTCCCAAGTTTTCCTTCTTGGCAGTTTGTTTTCCCCAATTCTGTCCTTCTAGGCGTTTTGGTATCCAGTTATCCCTTCTGGAAGTTTGGTAACCAGTTTCTATCTGATCGAAGCTCTTTGACTGAAAAGGAGCCTCATACGGACTTTATCAGCTGTTTTTCAAAGTAATGTGTGAAACAAAAAAAGTTTATATTTATGGAAAAAAGGGATAATATTTTATGTTTTCAATTCATATATGAGAAAAAAAATACAGTTATTTTTTTAAACCTTATATACCAGATCACAATGTTGAAAATTATTAAATTTAGCAAGATACCAAACGCGTTTGATAAAATAAACATGATAATTTGCTTTATTTTATTAATATGAAAGTTGATAGAATTTCTGAGCCACATCTTATTACTCATAAGTTCCTAATTTCAAACATCAGGTTGGTTTCATTAATGATCGGGTTATCATTTATGTATGATGGATAGCAATACGTAAAATTGAACCGTGAAAAAGAAAGAAAGTGATAACTTAGGATTATTTTGGAAAATATTATTAATTATTTATTACTAATAATTCTACGAAAAATACTGAAATTGTAATCCAACTGATCGTATAGGTGATATTCTAGAAGTTAAATCCGCTACTAATCCCAAACTAAACAACATTTTCCCATATTTTCCTTCCCACAAAAGTGTAATTCCCCTAGAAGTTCCTACTGTAGCTTTTACGATTCCAGTTACTTCACCTTGTGAAGATTTATTAACAGTATCATCGTTTGACTCACTTTCTCTTTCGTGCTCTCTTTGCCACCATTCAGCGCCAATCATCAAATCACTCTCATAACTATACATATTAAATTCGAATCTTGGACATAATGCCAAATCATCAGATACTTGCGCAGCAAACGCCGCTGACATATGTCCCATGATCGGATTAATCAGGTAAGTCACACTAATAGGAGATTGTAACGAAAACTGTGGGAGTGATCGATAACGTATCCCAGCGGAAACTATAAACAAAATTCTTTAATATAGAATTTTTTAATTTAATAATAATTTTTTTTTTTTTTTCGGTAATTCATTACCTCCACCACTTCTTTCTCTCACACCGTAATATAATTCAGCACCGATAGACCATTCTCCTTTCAATGATTCCACTTCATCATCATCTTCGGATTCAGATGATACGTCAAACACATTTCTTTCAACCAGAGGTGCTTTCAAATTATCGTCCTTCTTTTTCTTTTTATCCTGTAAACTCTGTTCTTCATTGTTAGAATCTGTATCCGTTTCTTCTTGACTTTGACTTGCAAAATTGTATAATCCTCTCACTCCAAACAATTCTCCATCAGTGGTATAAGACAATTCAGTACACCATTGTCCGACGTCATATTGTAACTCGGTGGTAACCTATAATAATTAGAACAATGTCAACACATGATTTCTTGGACCTTTAATAAACACAAGAAAGGTTATTAATGATAGTAATAAAATGTACATTACGTGTGAAGCTGCTTTTGACCTTGGATCACTAACAGCTGTGACGACACATTGCATCCATCGAGAAAATCTCTTGGAATAAATGGCTTCAAGACGACCAGTTGGGACAAACAAACGCCCATATAGTAAATAATCTAAGTCAAAAAAAAAAAAAGAAAATTATTAGGTATTCTGAATTCTTCAATCTTCAATTTAAAGGGGTAGATACCTTTAATTACTTCAGAGCCATCATCATTCTTATCTAAAACCTCAGGAGAGTAATTTCTTGGCATATAATTAATATGAAATCTATCGATCATTTCCATAAAGTTTACACGTTCACTTGGATCAACTTTTAATGGTCGCGATGTGAATAAATATCCCAATGAACCATTAAGTATCGGTGAAACATTCATCGAATATGATGCCTTGAGTAATGGAAATTTGATTTTTGATATCGCAAATGTTAATCCACGTGGTATCTGAAAGTCCAGTATTGCTTTATTTTTATTTAAACGAAAAAGAAAAAAAAAATCGCGTTTTAATGTACATTTAAAGATAAAAAGTAATTGATAGAGCAACAAAAACATATTGAAGTGTGATTAAGTTCTTACGTTTAAAGACGTAAATTCCTCACCTCGTGAAGCCGCACATAAATTAGAATATTGGTTATCATCATTCCAGTCAATAGTCTTAAAATATGTACGAAGGCAATAATCCATAAAATTATGCATTTTGTCGCTTTAATTTAAGTATAAAATTCAATATATTTAGAGAAAAAAATTTTTAAATTACTGATCAGTAGACTAAAATTTTTGACGCTCTTTTTTAATTTGATGATTTAATCACGTTAGTAACTAATCGTTTATTTAGAAGAATTTTCCTTTTATTATAAAAAACTAAAGACGATTTGAAGTTTCATAAGCTTGGATTAGGATAACCACTTTTTGATTATTTAGGGTTAATTTAGGGTTAGGGTTAGGGTTAGAACTGATATTGGATGACGGACATATTTAGACCATGTGTGATATCGATCATGTCGATCATGTGATCTGATTTCGGCCAATCATAATTGTAGAAATGTTGACCAATCAGAAAGATAGGGGTAAATTAGTGAAATCGGATTTGTCGCGTTAAAAGTCACGTTAAAAGTCGCGTTAAATATCATATACTGAATATAAAACATTTCTTCGTCAACTTTGTTTTCTCCTACATTGTTCTCCTACAGTAGTGACATAAAACTTCTGTTGAGAAATAACCTTCATAACTTTAGTAAAACATATTCCACCTTCTAGTTCACGAATTCTTGGTCTTTTTACTAAATCGGCAATTCGGTCATAAGATACAAGTGGATTATTATAGCTCTCTTAGAGAATGAATTCAGGTAGGCATACCATTCCTTTTCTCAACAGGAATGCTATCTCCTCTTTACGAGGTGTTACCTTCCCTTGATGGGATGCTGTTTACCTCCTCTTTACGAGGTGCTATCTTTCCTTGATGGGATGCTGTTTACCTCCTCTTTACGAGGTGCTACCTTCCCTTGATGGGATGCTGTTTACCTTCTCTTTACGAGATGCTACCTTCCCTTGATGGGATGCTATTCATATTGCTATTTATTTTTACTACATAGCACATTTCAATTAACTGCTTACTCTCTTTTTAGCTTCAGGTTATAAAAAACGTTGTTGCGGAAAACCAGAATTATCGGTGATGCTGTACGGAAACATTAACTCCCTTAATCAGGGTTGGGAAATTAGTACAGTTAGTACGGCTTAGTACAGTTTAGTACAGTTAGTACACATAATAATTAATATAAAATTTAGTACAGTACAGTACAAGGTCAAAATTTGCCTAGTACATACAAATTTCCCAACCCTGCCCTTAATGAAGAAGATCTTGAAACATGGTTACTCAAAACAGTAAAACTTCCGTTTGTACATGTAAGCAAAAATATACATGTTGGGTAAGTATTTCTATGTTACCTATGTTCTTTATATATGTTCTCTGTTGATTTTTAAAAAAAATTCATTCACACACTGATTCTGATTTAATTGTAGCTACGGTCATATACATTTTTCCAGTCACGAAGATGCGAGCAACTTCTTCTATGCTTATGAAAACGTCACTTTTGATGGTCCTACAGGCGAAGAAGACATCAGAATAAGAGAATCGTATTATTTTGGGAGATCAAAGAGAAAGGTTGTTTATGTAAAAGTAGGCATTGACTATTATATGCTGGTACACCAAGTTTTTTTTTACATAAGCTTCAATTCATCACGTGCATCAATAAATTTCTGATATGTGTATATTGTTAGAATCAGAAAGTGCAAGTTTTTATATTTGCGCAAGACAGATAACTAACCCATGTAGTTGTGCATTTGTAAAGAGTTTGGAAATTATATGTAGTTTTTGTGCAAGAATACTATATAAAAGGCGTTGAAATAAATAGCCAGAAACCTTATATCATGCCATTAATTTCTTAAAATTAATGTTACATAATTTTAAATTAGTGATCCTGACATGACCAATGATGATAAATGAAAATACTAATATCATAAAAACTTTATTAAATCAACAAAAGAAAATTCGGTAATCTTTATTCAAAAAAAGAATACTAACATTTCATATTTAATCAATATCCATACTTTCCTGATTGAGTCCTTCTTTATGACTATAATAATAATATAAATTATAAATCACTTTTTCTTTAATTAAAAAAATTACAATTATGATATAAATTACTTACCGTCCAATAATATACATTGCATTAATCACAAAAGCTTCAATATGGATAATTGCTTTCGATCCAATCACACTTCGATGCTCCTATAAAATTATATCAATAGTTAATAAAGATAATTTAATAAAAATCAACCTTAAATACATACAAATTCGGCCGCTTTTTCAAGAATTTCGCATTTGACATTGTTATCAGCTCTTCTTACTATAGCGAGGAAAAGATACTGAAAATAAAACATAATAATTAATTATTTCAAATATATAATAGTGAATATAAATAAAATTGTCTAATATTAAACAATTTACCTTCATCAGATTTGATGGCAAAATGTAGGTGTTTAACAATTCATAAAGTGAATCTCGGATTTTGTCTAAACTAGATATTTCAATGGTCATAAAACATTATTAAATAGCTTATTACATATGACACCTAGTATATATATTATAAAAAAGGAAATGTAATTTAACTCTTCAGGGCTATGGCGAAGGCATATATTATTGGCAATATCGTTAATAATTTCTTCCCAATCCGTAAATTTGTAACGAATATTATCTTTCAATTCGTCGCTATAAGTTTTATAAAATAAAATAAAATGAACTTGAATTCAAAATAACAGCTATAATTAGAATAATCAATTAAAGATAACATACTATTCCATGTATAAAGATTCAAAAGATAATATAGCTTTCCTCAGATCTCGATTAGATTCATCTGCAATAAGCTTTGCAACTTTTAAAGGAAGTTTGATACATTCTTTTTTCGCGATATTCGAAAGTGTTTCAATTATCTGCAATTTAGAAAAAGCTCACTTGTAACCATTATATTATAATTACCAATTAATAAAATATGTTGCATAAAGATGTGTTATATAACCTCGTCATTTGTAGGAGCAGGTACTCTGATCAATAAACATCTACTCCGAATTGGATCAATAATTTTACTTGGAGATTTACAACACAAGATGAGCCTCACGTTCGACATATACAATTCCATGGTTCTGCGTAGCGCAGCCTGAGATTCACGTGTAAGTGAATCAGCTTCATGTATAATAACCACTAAACAGATCATTTTATTAATCTCTGAATAATTCAAAAAATCGAATCTTAATCTTAACGTTACCTTTGAAGTCGTGTTTAATGGACAAATCAACTTGTTTTGTTTGGGCTACATCTTTTAGAAACTCTTGAATAACTACTCGGTCAGAAAAACCAACTTCGCTAGGTAAATTATAAATCATGAAAATTAGGTTCATATTCGAAATTTACATATAATGTCAAACATTAATTACTTAGGGGTTATCTCAAGATGATATTTGCTCGAAACAACAGTTATATCAAGTTTTCGAGAAGGCGTGGTAAAAGTTTGTATATCAGTTTTAAGCTGTCATCAATTGAAAAAATAATTAATAAACTTAAAAGTAACAAGAAAGTTACGCAAATATAAAACCAATACCTTTCGAACGCCTGGACCATATAACTCTTCTAATAGGCAAGAAATACGCGTCTTTTTGCCTGCACCCGAAGGACCATATATAAGCAAGTGAGGAAAATCTGAAGTCGCCTGAAATAGTAACGATGCAAAGAAATAAAGTAAGAA